TTGCGAGGCGAAAAAGTGTGGGCAGCCGGCGTTGGACCTTTTCGTCCACGGCGTTATTCCAGGCAGCAGCGCCCGCTTGGAAATGACTGTGTCTCTTTAAGGGCGATCGCAAATCACTGTAAGAAAACATGCCTGACCCTTCCCACCATGTAGAAGGCAGCTGGGCAGACGCTCCCTCTGTGCGGTTGCATTGAGCGATGCTGGTGGGTCAAAGGTCCTTTTTTTAAATTTGCATCGTATTAAGTTGTTCTCTTGTTGTATTCTTGAATCTACGGTTTTCCTCTTTCGTCGTTGGAAATGATAGTTGTTTCCTTCAGCCTAGAGACGTGATAGGCTGCACGGGCCGTACCTCAGTGCGTCTACTATGGGGATAAACAGGAAGTGTTGTTATTTTGTCATCTCGGGAGAGCTCATAAGATGAGATAAGTTCCTGTGCAGTGAACTGCCGAACTCAGGAAGGGAATCATCTAGCGAGAAAGAGAAGGAGAGGGATTAAGAAAAAGTGGTCGATGTCCTTTATTTTCAGCAGCGGCGCTCAGAGTAAACTGTGGGTTTAGTCTGCTTGGTTGGAACCATTATGGTCAGGCCAGAGCAAAGGGTTTGAGAATAAAATTGGCGGGTTATTTTTATGCAATCCACTTCCTCTGGTTTGTGATTGAAATCTTTCGAAAGAGAATAGAAGGCGTTCTCGTTGCAGTGGCTGCAGCAGCCTTCTCCCATCAACGCCGCCCCGAGTCAAAGGCAGCGGTGTCAGACTCTTATTCTCTAGGGTGCCACATACTGCCCACTTTGTCCGGGCCGACGGGGGCGGGCACAGTCATTTTTAGGCGACCCCCAGTGGACTGATTTAAGAATAGCAACTACTTTGAAAGAAATGCAATTCGTGTATTTCTGTCATTCTCACACTAGCAAAGTCATCCGGCAGACCAAGCCGGACCCCCCCGCGGGCCAGGTTCGTATATGTCTCGACATCCCTGGTCTAAGGTAACGTGACCGTGGCTGTTCAGACACAGGTGTCTGTGTCCTATGGTGCCGCCGGGTTCGAAGACTCCCCCCACCCATAACAAAGACGCTACGGGTCAGGAACCTTGCCATAGGGTCATGGACGCAGACACGCACCTGTTCACTGGGGGGCCTCCTCTTTGCAGAACAGACGACTCCCAGATGTTGTTATGGAGTAAGAGGGTGTGTGTGTGTGGCGTGTACCCCCTGAGAATGCACTATTTGGAATTGCTCCACCGTGCGTGTATATTCACCACCAGTCAAACGTTTGGACACATTTTCTCATTCAATTTAATGAGAGTGTGTTTCCAGACTTTTGATTGGTGCTGCAATGCCTTTCAGGGACTTCAATGCCTTGATTTATATTTTTCCTGAATGGATTTTAGGAAGAGGCGTACTTACACCTGGAAAAGCATAGATGGACGACTTGAGTCTGTCTCTCTAAGAAGTCCCCCCTGAAAAGGTGGGTGCTTTTTTTAGCATTTTTTCTTTTGAATGATGGGATAAAAAATGGTGATGAATTGTAATTTCGTACAGCTGAAGCACTCTGGAGAAGTCCCTGTATCGGCCGTATAATAGAGAATGTAATGCAGAAACCTCTGGAAAAAAGTAAGGCCCTTTCATTTAACTTTATTTATTTAACCCGAAGGTGTCCGATATGGTGGCAAGACAAGAAGATGAGCATTTAAAGATGATTGCACTGTGTGATGAAATAATTGACATTATTCTGTTCTATATATAGTTTAATAGGGTTGGCCTTCGTGCCTGAAGGCGTTACATTGGTTACCACAATGAAGCTGTCATGAGTCAGTCAGCAAAAAGCTGGACCTTTGTCTAAACGTGACAGCATTTAGCTGGCACATATCCAGGCAGACAGCAGAGGTTCTGTGGGAGCAGTCAGTTGGTCGACCTTTGACCCTGCCAGTCTGCCTCCGGGACAAAAGTCCCATTCAGATGCAGAGTTCTTTTGCAAAAAAACACCCAAAAAAGCACACTCTGGCTGACTGGTAATCCTGTTGAAACGCTTATTAACTCAATTAGGGCCGATAAAAGCAGGTGGATTAGGTCAAATGCATCCAAGCGGTAAGAAGCTATACAAGACAGGTGTAAATAATACAGACGCAAAGGAATGTCACCGTAAGAACATAGTGACTACAATTCGATCCATGGGCCCTGGCTAAGTGTTCCTATCATGATTTATAGATAACATTAGACCGAGTGTGAAAATGTGCTCTCGAGTTAATGCTGTCAGGAGTTCAGGCTTCATGCAGCGGCAGAATTCTTGCAAAGGGCTGTCGCACGGAATTCCTCGACTGAACCAAACAAACCCTGAATAGAACATGAAGGAACAACACGTCGTAAAATGTGACAGTTTGCCATGTTGGCTCCTGGAGGAGGAGGCGCTCGTCAGTACTATTTCCCGCGGAAAGCGAGCCAATGTAGCGCCGTTTGAAAGGCTTCTTTAGAGCCACTCCGCCAGGTGTTTTCACGTTGTGATCGGGTTTAACGCTGACCTCCATTCAGTTTAAAATAATTACCAGAGGGGCCGTGCAAATTTTCTGAAACCCGAGTTCGCAGAGGCCGCAATGTGCGGTCGTCTCCCTTGCACGAAAAGTCACGCCGTGGAGAAGAGAATGCCGCCTCTTTATTTCGTTCATTGTGCAAAGCGCTTGCTGTTTAAGGCGAGCGACAACAAACGTACCCTCAAAAGAGAAACGAAGAACATAAGGACCACCTCTTCTTCAGCATGCCAAGCCCACTCAATTAGTCGATGTAATTGACCCGGCTGTGATGGATGATACAGGGGTAGCTGAAAGTGCACTTAGCATGAGCTTTGCCTATTCCTCCGGGTTTTCCTCCCTGGTTTTGGTGATGGAGATATTACCCCAGAGAGCGAGAACAGCGTGACTCTGCAGAAGAGGAAGGAGAACGAGGCAGTGGACTTTGTGGAGATGAGCTGGACCCCTCTGAGTGCACGGTTAACGGATGCATCCCCAGGGCTCGCTCAGGAATGCACGCAGGCATTACCGCCAGCTAACTTTGTCATCCGTCTTCCGTCCCTGGAGAAAGATGACAAATGGTATTATTATAGCCCCCATCTCCACGGTTTGGTTTCTGCATGCGTGAGAGCGAAAATGCCGCTGTTCAGTTCACCAAGAATGAATACTTCGGAGTCGTGCTCCACAGGCTATGCAACTGTTTTTAATGAATCGTGTTTTTACTGCTCGGTTACAAATACCAGATTTTAAATGCTCATTTGTTGCATCTATCAGTCAGACTAGAGGTTGTCTGTCTTCCTGCTGGTTAAGCAATTACCACCAACTGTCTTCTACGTGATGCGCTGTAATGTTGCCCATGTTATAATTCTCCTTAAAATCTGGTCAGTAGCTCTACATGTTCATCATAAAAGCAAGGGGGAAGTCAATGGTCTAGTATTGATTGGAAATCCCCCCCCCCCCTCCAGACAGATCACTCCATATGAAATCAATTCTCATTTGACCCGTGTCAATTGAGTTGGCAGTAAAGGCTTCCAGAAACGACGTCTCAACGTATGCCGCGGGACGTCAGTGTTTCTGTTCAATGACCTAGACGGCGGCCAGCCGTAGCCTGAGTGGTCCTGCAACAGCTTCGTAACCAACTGACACATATTTGAACACTTGCCAACTGGCTGGCGCATTTCCTCTAACACGACGGCCACTTGGTCGGCTCCAATGTGTTTATGATTCAAACTAGAGCACAATGACGGAGGAAGCCATATCTGTTTACATTAATCAAAGTAATGCCACAATGCAGAAATATTAGAATTAGTCCTGCATTCAAATTGTCCCTTCAGTATCGAATAGATATTGTCACGTTATAGTTCAAATACCACAGTCAAAATGACTCATTCAGCAAAATGGCCCATTTGAGAATAATAGGCCACATATTTGATCATTGGATTAGAATTGTTCATGCACCCGGTTCATCACTTTAATGTTGCAGCTGGTAAAGATAACCGAGCTGCTGATGTCGGTGGGGCCTCAGGCGGAACACATGGGTGGAAACGACCTTTGACAAAAACAAAACCTAAGCACAGACCGGGGGAAAAAACAGAGGACCTGACAAGGACCCTAGCAGCTGATATGAATAATTATATACGTGTACCTAATCATATGTTATCAGTTGATTGTGTTTGTATTCTGAAATTTTGAAACAATTTATGTAGACCACTTTAATATATATTTTTAATTATTCGGCTTTGATTTTCCCACTTGATTGGGATTCTGTGGGGTCTGTGTCCTGGTCAGTGCAAAGGGACCCACCGACCCGTCCATATTATCTATGTCACATACTTGATCCGCCCTGCACAGACCCGTCTGTGGTGTGGCCCTCCAGCCGGCCCTCCAAGGATGCTTGATTGTCCAGTCCGGTTGGCGTTGTCAAGTTTACTCCATGAGCTAAATCAAGCATCCTGTCTCACTTTCGTCCCAATGAGCACTGATTGGATCTGAGGGAAATCAACTTCCTGTCTGTGTCACAAGGGTAGTTCCCCAATGAAGAATCCCATACTTGGTGTGTCTTTGTGTGTGCGTGTGTGTCGGTGATGAGAAGACGATACAGGATAAGCGTTTCATTTGGGCGTTTTTTTTTTTTTTGTCTGCCCAGTGAGGAAATCCACTGGGTGGAGGTGGTGTTGATTGCGGGTGGGAAGCGTGGGCCGCCAAGGGTCATTTCCTTTTGATCGTGCCATCTCCCTTGGCCTCAAAAAACAAATGCATATTGTAGATAAATGCATTTATATTCTGAGAAAACCCACCACCATTTCCAGCTGACACCCACATGGACGCTGTCACACACTGAAGGTAGAAAGAAGGGCCGGGGGGAGCGGGGCGAGTGATCTAAAGGCAGGGAGGGACGGTGAGAGAGCGGGAGGGAGGGAGAGCGAGAGGGAGGGAGAGGGGCCGGGGACAATGCCAACAGCTCAGCTCCCAGCACAGTCAGCTGAAATCCAGGGCTCGGCTCAGAAGCAGACCGAAGCGCAGCAGCTTCAGTGAGCGAAACATTCAGAGAAGGCATGGACTCCAGCCACCACCCTCCAAATGGCAAAAAGAGGGACAGGAAACCAGCGGCTGTTGGAATGCTTTAAAACTTTATTGTGTCCTGGCTTTGTTGAAAGGATCTTTTATTCCCTTTTTGAAACAGGGACACTCTATCGCTCAGGGACGCCCGTCTGAAGTGGGTAAGTAGGGAAACCCGATCCTGATACTGATAGCCGTTACCCTCCCTGGTCACTCAGAGGCACCATAGTGCCGTTCCGCTCGGTACGGGCTCCAGATGTTTTAAGCAAAACCCCAGATCGTCCGTGAACTGCATCCCACTGCTCAGTCCAGCCAGGAAGCCACAGGCTGCAGCGGCCAATAAAATAAACAATTGTCAGAAGGCTCAGAACTGAGCTGAGCCACCGGGAAACTGGTGGGCAACAACGGCTACTGGTCCCACTAGGCTGATTCAAAATTTTAAAAAATGCGTGTTTATTTCCAGCACTTTTCCTCTTTGCCACAGTGGCTTTGTAGGTTATAAACTGCAGCAAAAGTTGAGTTGTGCACGATCTTTGTTTGTGGCTCGGTTCTCCAGTGGTGGTGACAGCGCACCTTGCCTTATCCCCATGTGCGCTGCTGCATAACGCGTGGAAAGCTTTTGGCATATTGGAAAACATCAGATGATAGAGTTATGATACCCACGTTGGTTGTCAACATAGTAAAGTAATATGACGTTTCTCCAGGGAAATGTTTGGCATGAGGGAGGACCGTGTCGTATGTAATGGTCTCAGGCCTATTTTGGGTGCTAGACACTGGCTGATCACACGCGTTCATCAATCACACGGTCAGCCACACATTCCATATGTGCTGTACATCTCCTCCCAGCAACAACTCAACCCGTCATGGAGCCAGGGCAGAAGACTTCACATTCCTCTAAATGTGGCCTGCTTTGGCTTGGGATGTTGGTGTTGCATTTTTATATCCTTAACCATCCTTCCACATTTCCCTCAAGACCCAACATAAATACTCTGCATCTCCCAGGACTCCTAATTGGAAGAAATGAAGTCTCCTTTCCCGTGTAGAGGTTTTTCCCATCCCACTGAAGTGGCTTCCACCATAGCTGTAAATCCTATGCGTGTGTCCAAGAGACAGAACTCCACGCATTGGCCCTCAAAATGTCTTGTCTGGGTGGAGGGCATCCCAACGGATGCTTTGGCGTTTGTGAACATTCTATAAATGAATGGGCATAAAACAAACATGATTAGTGCAACACTGACCTAAGCTCCGGAAGGCTGATGAACCAGAGGGAAAACTACCTCGTACAATCATAAGACCACGTCTTGCATTTTAACAAGTAGTTTCTTTTTCCACCACATTAAAGGCTCATTCTCTGGTCTCACCCTCACGTGTTCCAGGGGGCAAGCTGAGTGACATCGCTAAAAGATTCAGTGTATCGGCAGAGCATTAACGCACACTTAGGACTCACACGTCGCGCACATACACACACACACACCCCGCGGCCATCAGCGCTCTCTGGCTTTCCGTATTTCACCGACCATTACGGATGCACAAACTGCCCTCTCAGGATTGGAGGAGGTGCGAAAGGAGAGTTCGTGAACGAGGCGGCGTGTTTTGTGGCCCTGCAGCTGACTGGCAGCTCAACGGCCTCGTCGTTACAAAGGGGACGGAGCGGAAAACAAGATGGGGTCTGTAAAAGAGGCAATCTTTTGGACCGGATTATCATCATGATGTATTTACAGTAGTGTGTGTGTGTGTGTGTGTGTGTGTGTGTGTGTGTGTGTGTGTGTGTGTGTGTGTGTGTGTGTGTGTGTGTGTGTCCCAAATGTGCCACCATTGTATTCATGCAATTGACACACTTTCTGGGCTTCATGATGTGCAAGCATCTCTTCTTTACAGGGTTTCAATTCAGTGTAGTGTTACCGCAGGCTATTTTCTGGTCACTCCGGAGGGCTTTCCCTATATGTGTAGCTATAAGTGTCATTGAGGAGCATTCCAGACATTACCCACAAGCCCTCTGTCCTCTCTGCTGCAGCTGTTGACCTCTCACCCAGGCCAGATAAATAGCTTAACTATGCACAATATAGACTGGCCCATTCCGTTCACTGACATTGATGGACATAATCAGAAATGGGTGCAGGGGATTAGGAGGCAAATAGTGGCGTTTGCTAGCAAACAAATGATGGAGAACTGCTGAGCTAGCCAGCAAGTAGAGCCGTATGAATGGAAACTAATCCATCCCTGTGTTCAGAGCGGCGTGCAGGCGGTCCTGGCTGGTTGGAGCTGCTGCGGTAGTGGACCAATAATCTGTCACATTCAATCAAAGGATGTTTTTGGTGGCAAAACTATACAAGAGTTCTTTTTTTCTAGATCTGGGCACAAGAAATAATTTCCAGCTGTCGTTTGACAAAGTGAGTTCAAATGAATGCAGTGTTATTTTGAGTACCAATACCCAGCCGAGTCTTTTCTGTGTTTTGTTGACTACCCCTTTCGCCACATGGAGGATTTGGATCGTCTCAGGCCTCCGTGTAATCTGGATACGTGCACTGTACTGATAGAAATGGGTGAGACTCTGGAGCGTTGGAAAAACACAATGTGACGTCTCTTTGAGAGTTTTGGGAACTGTTCCTTTTGAGATTGACCATCATCACACATGATAACGTGTCCTCGGTAAGACCCAGAGCTCGTTCCTCCCAGATGAAATAAGGACGGAATTTGACGCGGCAGGGTAGCACACTGGTATTCTAGAGAAAGGGATGCCAAGTATGGGATTTCTTTCCGTGCCCCGTTGATATGTGGGAATGTTTAGGTCTGTGGAATGCGGCGTGGCAAACTTTCTTCTCATTCCCAGTGTTAATAGCGTAGTCCCACCAGTGATTTGGTCTGATCTGATGAGCAGAGATGTGACTTGTGAAGACAGAAGAGAAGTGGGTCAGCAGTAACCCCCCGCCCCCCCCCATTGATCGACCTGAGCCAACATAACATCTGCGTTGTTAAAGGTCCCACACAGCAACTCGTGGACTAACCTTATGCAACATGCGGATGATCATCTGAATACAGTTAATGCAAAAAACCGAAGCTGTGATGGATGTCTCACCAAGAACCTGTGTCTGCAAACTGGTGGATTCGTTGTTACCTTTTTGCACACAAGTCCTGGTTTCGATTTTTGTTTAGAAGTTGTGTTCTTTCTTTATTTTTTAGGAGATGAATCCAGATAAAATGAAATGGCTATTAATGACATGCTCTCCAGCCCCCAGAGTGATCCACTGAGGCGTTTCCTCTTCATGGGTGAGGTGGGTTACTGTGCCTCATGGGCCTGTTAAAGCGAACTGTGCCTATGTGTTTGTTTTGAATAAGCCAATGAGACCTCGGAGAATTCTCAAATATTCGCAGTGAAACAGTTGACAGTTCACGAGGGTTCGTTGACAGACTGCCGTGTTTAGGTGTTGGTGGAGAGACCATTTTGGCAGCTATTCTACAGTTTTTAGCAGTTGCGGTCACAGTGGTGGGGGTCTCGACTGACGGTAAACATTCAATGGGACCACCTGTGTACTTCCCATACAACATCGGTGGCAGGTATCTGACGAGATCAATCAAAAGGAAAGATACTTCTCGGCCCAAATGTGACTGCATTTGCCTTGGAGACAGTCTGGATTTATTTAAGCGGAAGTATTAACCAGAGGCCATTAAAGTAATTCATGATAATTGCAGCTGTGGTCAGTTTGATTGGAGTTAATTTCATCCCTTTAATTGAGTTCCACTGCATGACATTCAGTGCAATGGAACTGGCTCCATGACCAGACGTATGACATGAGTTTGAAACTGCAGGTGCTGTTAGTTCGTTGTCACGTTGTTTCCCAGTGACACCGTCTGACGGCACAGCAGTCCAACAGCTGTCTCATCCCAACAGCCTCCAATGTCGGACTGAAGCGCAGAAAGGAGTTGAGGAGGGAGTTGAGGTGGAGGGGGGTTCGGAGGAGTGGTTAAAGTGTAGTGAAGGGAAGGAAGGGTGGGGTTCTGATCGTCTGATCTGGGCTAAGTTGCACGTAGGCATGAGTGCACAGACTGCCCTTGTCAGTTGCTGCACCACAGGTCTGGAGAGGCTCTGTGGACGCAGGGGAAGCATGGCGTTCATCACTGTTGTGCTGTCAGAAACTGCCTACCCTTATTGCTACTTAGAAATAGGTTCAATTCATATTGTTGGACATAGTGTCCCAGAAAGAAACAGAAACTACGAAAAACATGTTATGCTGGTGATTCTAAGGAAGATATAATGGCATCATAATGCAAGGGCATCATTTCAAGAGATTTTCAGGAGTTCAATAGTATTAAGATAAAAAACACAACTTCATATCACATATATTGTCCGGTTATGTAAAATGTCTATTTACCATATACTAGGCTGTAAAAATGATTGAGATCGTGTCATCGTGTCACCATCATTGATGGACCTTTTCTATTCAATGATCATTAACGTCACTTTTACAAGGTGTTTTACAGTAAAAACTTGTAAAGTGACACATAAAATCTCTTCTAGCTTAAGACAAAAGGAATGTGTGTTTTTCTGTCTGTATGTGGGAATGTCATTCTGTACTGTATGTGGCAATAAACCGCTTTTGGGCATTACGCTGTGGCCCCTGACCCGAACAGACTAACATGTGAACATGGCAGCAACTGTGGGTGGGCCACAGATCCGATGGGGTCCCAGGTGATTTAGCTTGCAGCAGCGGCTTGGAGGGGTGGGGGGGTGTAGGTCCATCAGTCATTGTACAGACAGGCAGGCAGACAGTAGAAAGGGAGGGCTGGGCATGTTGTAGAGGGCATGTCTGGGTCACCGGTACCCAAAGAGTGGCACAGCTTCAATGTGTCCCATGGCTGCGTTGACTAGCTGGTCCATTTCAGATTAATGAGTGTGAGAGGTTCCCCTGCCGCATGCAATCTTTACACACCAGTGCACAGCCATTACTGCCCACAAATACAAGGACACCCTGTCCCAGCACAACCCCAATAGACCTTTTGCTTCCCGTGACAGGACATCAGAGGTCTTGTGTGCTTCGGAAGAAAAAGCAGAGATTTTATACACATTCTTGGTCAATTGTCCATGTGCCCGAAAACAATTTGAGGAGAAGGTCTCCATTAGAAAAAGAAATTCAATAACTACTTAAGTTATGGACCTGTTCTA